ACAGTCCTTCTGTCCACTTGTCATTTCCTGAAAACACTGTACTGAGTTCATGCAGCTGTTTGGGGTAACCTCCGGATGCTGAGAACTAGGAGAACCCATTCATCTCCTAAGACCCAGATCAAGAGTGACTCCCCGCAAAGAGGCCTCCCATGTTACTGGCACACTGTCCCACCTTCACCCCATTCTCATGCATCTAGCCTATTCCTTGTGTCCGTGACTGTTTCCACAGTCCCCCTTGTATCCGAAGTGCCTACTACAAAGTCTGGTATATAGATGGAGCTCGGTAAACAGCTGTTGAATGTATTATAGGGGGAGTAAGTACATGTGGCGGTATTTCCATTGAAAATGCTATATTCGGAGAGAAGTAAGACTCCTATCCAAAAGCGTGATTTTCACATTACTGTAATCTCTGTGAACAAGACTAATTTTAACTGGCACATACTAGCCCTTACTCTTGTGATTTTTTTTTTTTTTAAGATTTTATTTATTTGAGACACAGAGAGTGAGAACACTGTGGGGAGGAGGGTCAGAGGGAGAGGGAGATGCAGATTCCCCACTGAGCAGGGAGCCCGATGCGGGGCTCGATCCCAGGACCCAGAGATGATGACCTGAGCCTAAGGCAGAGGCTTAACTGACTGAGCCATTCAGGAGCCCTTCTGATTATTTCACATACATTCTATCATTTATGTTTTCTGACAATCTTTGCGGGTTTCTCTTTCCAATATTATCCCTACTTTAGAGATGAGGAAACCAGGATCAGAGAGCTGAAGAGTCCTGCCAAGGCCTACATGGCCATTAGCAGAAGGGCGGGCTTGAGCACAGCCTGGCCTGGCTCAGAGGCCAGCGATTAGCGATCACACAGTACAGTATCTCCCCCTTGATAAGGTTCTCCCCTCAATGAAAACCCTCACTGCTAATTCTTCGATCAATTATGTATTTAGCTCACTTAGAAATAGAAAAGACATCTCTTCCCCTGGATCCTAATAATAATTAACAATGAGAAATGCTCCTAAATCTGAGATTTGCAAGAGAGAAAGCTTGCTCTCCTTTCCCAAACCAGAAGAGGATGAATGTGAGAATTCTACTTCCTTTCCTAACTTTACACACAATTTACCTAATAAATAGAGAAAGACCCAAATTCTCCCGATGGATATTTATTGATGAATAGCCCCTTTCCTCACCAAAAGGCTCTGAAGATGCTTGTAACAAAAGTCTTACACATGCTCAGAGTCGGAAGAGAAAAACCAAGAGTTGGGACTGTGGAAAATACCAAGGCCCTGTGTGCCAACAGCCGGGGTGGTGACCACGTCCCATGTCACCTGTGGAATCCCAGTGTTGGTGAAGGGTTCCATCCTAAGAAACTACTCAGATCTTTACCTGTGCTTTAAATCAAGTTACCATTAAGTTAAATTGCCACAAAGTCTTAGAAACCTAAGAAAAATACTGTTAGAAAGGAAAATTATGGTCATAAAGTTGGTCATGAAATGATAGGTATTATCTAAGAATAAAAAAGGATCTAAAAAAGCCCAAGTATCATTATTAGACTTGACAAGGGCATGGGACAATAAATGTCCAGGTTTATGCTTCCAAAATACCCATCCAACTGGTAATGGATACTTCAGAAACATAATGGTCCCTAAAACTGGAACCTTTTCTTTGCCTTTCTTTTCACAGAGCTAGCACATAACCATGTTCTACTTGCTGCAGGGCATAAAAACACCAAAATGTTTCAAATGCAGATAGTACTGCATAGAAGTATACTTTCTTAGCTTTTTTCCCTTGGACTTGGAGACATTTTAGTTACTCTAGTGCTAAAGTTCTCTCTGCTTTAATGGGATTTTTAATGCACCAAATCAAATTACTTGTAGAACTTGTCATACTTCTGCTGCTGAAGAATGATGGAATGAAGCCACAGAACCCAGGATAGACCTGGGGAGCTGTCCCCCCACATCATACTCGGATATTCCCACCAGAGGTGAAGGCATCTCCCCCCTGCTCTGGGGCTGGGGGTGTCTCTGGTCCGGTTGGCTTTGCCCAGTTCCCAAGCTCACCTCTTTGGTGCCTGATCTGGAATTCTAACCAGCTGTAGTCACCCTGGTGGGGGGAAGATGGGAAAATGAGGAATTGTGGGACAGCCACGGGCCACAAGAAAAAACTCTTTTGGCCTCTCAAGGAGAAAGACAAAAGAGATCATGGAGCACAGACAGAGGGGAACATCTGTTAGTATTTGCTTCAGGACCCCAGTACCGAGCACAGGGCAGGACAGAGAGAAGGCTGTAAGGACCTTTCTCTGTTGGACTGAACTAAGGTTTGGAAGACCTAAGCTACCAGCTGGGGGCTTTGAGGACTCAATATTCTCCAAAAGATGACATGTGGCTTCCCTTTTACATATACAGGGTTCTTGCAAGATGACACTGAGGTATCTGTGTGTTTGCTGATGAAATACAATCACTGAACACCAATCCCATGGCCAATTTCCAGGGCAAAGGAATGGTGGCTGTGAATGTGGCCCTGCGGCTCTCCTTCCTGCCTGCTGCCCTGGCCCCTTCCTTCTGGTACCTTCTGTGAGTCCCATTCTCCTATCATTAGCTCTGGAGTCTTCCTTGTCTCCCTCTCAGGCACTCAAACCCACTCATAACAGGGTGACCCAATGTATGCTGAGGAAGTTCTTTTCTCCCAGCCTGACACTGGGCAGCCCCTCCCAAGCTAAGGTCTGGTGGTGAGGAGCCCTCACAGAGCTCCCTTTATTCCTCAGCTTGAGCTAAATAAAACACCAGGCAAAGGCCTTCTGCCATTATTCCTGTTTAAAGCCAGTGCTGACCGGCGGCTCCTGATCTCACCAGCCTGCCATCCCCCGAGGTCCTAAGGGGGTGGATTATCAGGATGGACTCCCAAGTATGGTCTGTTCCAGTTTTGAAAAGGCCAGGTCTGTTTTCCTTAGAAACTGGAAGGTCTATCAGTTCAGGTTCCATTTTTCTGGGACTGAGAGACTCTGTCTCAATTTTATAGCTTCTCTTTTTTTACCAAATGACAGGTACAACTTTTCCAGATCAAGAGTTTGTAGGAGGGCACTCAGCACGCAGTGGTGCTGGTGTTGAGCACTGTTACACTTTACTACCCTGTGGATGGGTCATGCAAGGTTGCCTGCCGGCTTTATTAACCACTGTGCAAAAATAAAACTAGTTATGAGCTAATCTGAATGAGCCCAACAAATATTACTGATCTTCATTCAAAACTGGCTTTTTATTTCTCCGAGAGCCTGAGGTGACAGGAATTATTGGCAGATTAGAGAATAACTATTATTAAATAGGACTGTGTTTGCCTTCTCTTTCTCTTCATTTACATGGATGATGTCAACCCTTTCACACAATACTGATGCATGGCCCCTTGTCATGGAGATAAATACAAGGGAGCGATTCCTCTAATGAGCTGATGACGAGCTCCTAGTGGCCCCACAAGCCAGGCAGAGCCCCAGACAACGGGTCTATTCTCTCACGTGGGAAAGAAGCTACTTCTCGAAGACTAAATTCTAACACTAAGATAATTATCTGTGAGGAGGCCCTCCAAAATCGAATCCGTTCATATCTAATAATCCCAACTGTAGATGTAACTATTTGGGAGAATATTTTAAAATCAGCACTTCTGGGTAGATTAACAGAAAGAGCTAATGTTGCTTAAAACTAGTCTATTTCACGGGAGCCTTTGTTTACGGCTGTCTAGAGTTGCTCTTAACATCACTGTAAAAACTTTACAAGTTAAAAACAATTCCGATTAGCTTTAGAGCTCAAAAGCAGATCTCCTGTTCTTTTCTGCACATGACCCTGCTTTGCCCCCAGGACCAGCGGGCAAGCACAGGGTAGGGCAGGTTAGAGTGTGGTCTGAGGGCCACGAGGAGAGCTGCCCGGGAGGACTGGGACAGCACAGACACCTGCCGTTCCAGACCGGTGGCTGGAATCTCCAAAGACACAGTCCAAGAGTCTACATTTTAACAAATTCCTTTGTGCCCCTTTGCACACTGCAAAGTTTGAGAATGGCTCCAAGGAAAAGCAAAGCTTTCTTTGCTCTTCCTCTCAGCCCTGTGAAATCCGCCCCTCAAGGAAGAAGAGCCTGATTTGAGTAAAGGTGAAACCTCCATCAGTATCTGGTGAGGCACCTGGAGTGTAAGGATATTATGTCGCCCCTTTCCTTATGCTGCCAGGAATCTTGCCACATTTGAATTCAATTATTGAAAATCCATAGGCCTTCCTGGCTTATATTTTTTAAGTTCTTTTTCCTCACATTCTCAAATTTTTATCCTTAAGTCTCCCCGGTTCTCATTTTTCCTTCTTATTTCTTTGCTGCCATTATTTTATTTTACGGTTTTTGTAAGCACTCACAAATCCTCCGTGGAATTAAATGAGGGATAAATAAATAAACATACCTCGGCACAGATATAATTCCAAGGGGCCATTTCTTGTGTTCCTGCAATGTTTCTTCCCACACTAAGATCCTGCCACAGACACTGGACCACACGCCTCTGTCTTAGCTTTCCACTGGGAATCTTTTCTCTGAGTTTTTTTGTTTTTTAATATTTTATTTATTTATTTGACAGAGAGACACAGCAAGAGGAGAACACAAGCAGGGGGAAGTGGGAGAAGGAGAAGCAGGCTTCATGCTGAGCAGGGAGCCCGATGTGGGGCTTGATCCCATGATCCTGGGATCATGACCTGAGCCATAGGCAGATGCTTATCAACTGAGCCATCCAAGCACCCCTGAGTTTGTTAATAAAAGCACCAGCAATAGGGCACCTGGGTGGCTCAGTGGGTTAAGCCTCTGCCTTCAGCTCAGGTCATGATCTCAGGGTCCTGGGACTGAGTCCCACATCGGGCTCTCTGGTCGGCAGGGAGCCTGCTTCCTCCTCTCTCTCTCTCTGCTTGCCTCTCTGGCTACTTGTGATCTCTCTCTGTTGAATAAATAAAATCTTCAAAAAAAAAAAAAAAAAAAAGCACCAGCAGCCTTACTTGTGTCCTTGGAGCTCGATGGCCGTTCCTTTTCTCCCACCGATGTCCCACATGATGACAGAGTGATCTGAGCTGCCAGAGAACAACACTCGCTGGACAGGGTCCCAACAGAGAGCAGTCACCCCACCTATGAGGACAGACACAGCTGGACATTAGTCACAAAGCAACAGTATTATGCACCAATAAATGTGAACGCAAAGGAGTGAGGATCTAGTGCAGTTCTTCTGCTTATAAACAAATAAGTCCCTGAAGTGAAAAACAAAAAAACAAAAAATAAAAAAAAACCCAAAAAACTGGATCCTGGAATAAAAGTCCCACCCTTTCAGCATTTCCCCCCCCATATTTAACATACCATAAGATCAATTACTATAAAAACCAAGAGAAAATGAAAAAGGCAGCTAATTGTCAGAAAGAGATGTTACTCAAAGAATGGAAAATATCACACTACTTGGAAATATTAACTGTATTTTCTTAACTTCTAACTACTGCCCCACCGACAGTAACAGGCAAGAAGTGAACGGAGTTTTAAAAAGCTAGACTGAATTTTCTTATTCTCGAACACAGATACAATTAGACCACACCACCAGAATTTAAAATTTATTTTCTCTCTGTGGGAATTGAAGTTTACAGATTCTAGGTTCATCGTTTATATCCTGAAGTGTCCATTTCCTCGACTGTAAAATGGGGATCACGGCGATACATCTCAAGATCTACATACAACTACTACTATTATTAATGATGCTATGGACCTAGCCCCTGCCTGCCTCACAGGGCTGTGGTGATAATCAGGTTGGATCAGTTCCATAGGAGCCCTCTGTAAACCACAGCGTGCAGTACACACGTTGGTTATTAGCATTACTCTACTGGTGTGGCTATAAAATATTATGACAGATCTTTCTCTCTGGTAGTCCCTTTATGAATCAAACCCCTGCACGATGAGAATAATATTAACTTTTTCCATTTAGGATGAGCCCAAAGCCTACAAACGCTTAAGAATGGGAGAAATACTCATTTTTTACATGATTGAAAAATATTATATTCTGAAAAGAACATAAAATAGCATCTTGTTTATGAGAACCTGACATTTTTCTTATTTAGATGATCAATTTGTTCTAACAAAGTGCTGCACTTTATAAGCTTTTAGGAAAGTTTCTTTTACATAATATTCTCGGAAGGGTTTTCTTTTCTTTTTTTAAGATCAAAGGCAGGGAGGGAAGTCCCACTTATTCTGGCTTGTGGTTCATTGCTTCTCGCCATACCTGCACAACATCCTCCCGTCCATGTACAAGTAAACAGCAACCACCCCCGCCCCAATCTAAGCAGTCTGCCCCCTGCCGCCACCTAATGGCACTGAGCAGCATGGCCAGTGGCACACAGGCTCTAGTGTGGTCTCTTGAATGAATGAAGGAGCAGACGAATGAAAATACATTTTTTTTTTAATCCACAATTCTCGTTATTTGGAACTCTTCTACTAGACTTACTAACCCTTCCAAGTTAAATACTGTTCCTCCTTTTGTGCACCAACGCTTCTTCATTCCCTGCTGTTGAACTCAACGATTACCACGTCCCAGGGTTTTAAGTACCCATGGACAACTGCGGTCCTGAAGCAGCTGATCCTTCTTCCACAGGAATCTCAGAAGGCCAGCAGTGGCCTAACACTGTGTCACGGAGCCTAGGTCATGCACCTCACACCCTCCCATCATGCAGGCCCCGGATCAGCTCACATCATCCCAAGAAGAAGGGTGAGTGCAGTACAGTAAGGAGACCCCATTCATATAACTTGTATTACAGGAGATTTAAACACAGTATGTCCAGGACTCCATATTGTCTGTAGTTTCAGGCATCCACTGGGGGTTCCTGAACTTGTCCCTCACAGACTGGGGAGGGGAGGGGGAACTATGCTGTACCTTTTTTTTTTTTTTTTAACATTCTTTAGTATTTAACAATGTAATACACTTCAAGATGTTCTATCCCGCAAAGCACGTTATTTATTCCCACACAGTACCCAAGTAACTTACTTGGTTAAATATCCGTGGCAGAGTTAGCCAGCTGTCCAGCTCGAGCCCCACTCCCCGGCCATGAATGGAATGCTCCCTGGAAAGGTGCTCTCCTGCAGGGACCATATTTATGGGCCCTCTTGTATCTAGGGGGCATGTCACCAGATCTGAGCAAAACCTAAAAAGTAATCTGTGTTCCTTCCAGGCCAAGGGGGTTAAGATGTCCCTTTTTCACTTTCTCTTCGTACCTACTCTTCAAGGACTCTAAGACTCAGGGCATGGAGAAACCACATTCTAGAAGAAGTCAGAGTCCCTGAATTACCATATGGAAGAGAGACACCTGCACTGGGTTGTAACGCAAGCAAGAAGTAAGGTGCTGCATTAAGCCATTGAAATGTTAGAAATTGTTTGTTAGCGCAGTTAGCATTAGCTATTAAATGCCATATATTTACTGGGATATACAATGAGACTGGCCCAAGGGGCGCCCGGGTGACTCAGTCAGTTACGCGGCCAACTCTTGATTTCAGCTCAAGTCACGATCTCAGGGCCGTGAGATTGGGCCCCACGCAGGGCTCCTCACTCAACAAGCAGTCTGCTTTAGAGTCTCTCCCTTTCCCTCTGCCCCTACCCCTGCTTTGTGTCCCCTCCCTCTAAAATGAGTAAGTAAATCTTTAAAAAAAAATTAAGGCTGGCCCAAGAGGAAGGTGAGAGTCACCACAGGTTTCATGAGTCAGGAAATTAAAAAAAGTTACTGGTATAGACTGTTAACACTGATGTGTAGTACTTAGAATTGGAGAGGACCCCGGTTGGAAAACCAGTGCACCAACCAAAGCAATCCACTGTACATTCTGAATTGTTTTTTTCCAAAAGTGTATCTGAAGTCTAAGCACTTCTCACCACCTCAACCACTACCATCCTTGCATGAACCACTACCAAAATTCTTGGCCTAGAAAATGAAAAAGCATGACACGTATTTACATGGAATGCCTATGGGGGCAAAAAGCACTCTCATACGTTGCTAATGAGACTCCAAACTAGCGCATCAGGGAAGGCCAAGTACAACAAACAACACCTGCACTTGGCTTTTAATCCAGCAATCTCACTCCCAGGAATTTATCTTGAAGATACTGTCCCCATCCCCAGGGAGTAATAAGAAGATACACATGCATAAGGAGAATGCTCACAGAAGACAGTGGCGGACTATGGTGCATTCGCTCAGTGTTCTGCAGCTAGGAGAAACAACAAACAAGATCACTTAGGAGGACAGCAAGGGATTTCCAGGATACACTGCAAAGTGAAAAAGGCAAAGCACCAAAAAATAGCTACATTGTGCTACCTTTCATCTAAGAAAAAACTGCAAATAAGAAATGAATGAGCTCAGCTACTTTCAGCAGGTGCACAGGAATAGCAATGGAGAGGGGATGAAGCAGAGTGGCACTTTTCTGAGTATATTTTTTTGGTTTGGTTCTGTATTTTGGGACCATATTCGTGTTTCACATACTCAAAAATAAGTAAATAAAATCAACAAGGGGTATATTTGGTGGGGGGGTAGGGTATGGACCCAAAATAGAAATATGAACAGAAACTAGTGAACCTAACTGTATTACAAATGAATGATCTGACCACAATGAAGTGGGGCAGGGGGAGAACTGACAAAAGCCACTTTGGAAAACAGAAATTTGACGACACATCCTAAGGCAAAATATAAGATTTGTACACAAATATAGTACTTTAGTTAGTAGGTCTGTATATGGGTTATGTAGGTCAGCAATTCTGCAGCTATTCCATGTGTATTTTAGGACTGAGCAAGTAAATACATGGAGGATAACAAGAGCTGAGTTTCTCACTATCATCATAGTTACAGCTGTTGGGGCGGGGGGAGGTTAGAATAAACTCTTTGGTGTTAGAATGGAATTGGAAGCATCAGTATGAACTCACGTGTGTGTACACACACACAAACACAGAAGACACAGAAATAGAGATGTGTGGGGACACACATATATTTCCTAGCTCTGTCTACTGAGAGGGCCTAGAAGCTACGATCTTCCCGCCAACGGGTGCACACAGAGCACCCAGATTCTGGCTTCTATATATTATCTATTCTTCAATGAAAGAAACAATGGCTGAATGGATAGTTAATTCTAGGGCTGAGGCATAGAGTATGCAAGATGAGCCAGGAACATCATGTGGTATCAGAAAGTGAAGAAGAGGCGCCTGGGTGGCTCAGTCGGTTAAGCATCTACCTTTGGCTCAGGTTCCTGGGATCGAGTCCCTGCATCAGGCTCCTTGCTTCTTCCTCTACCCCTCTCCCCTACTTGTGATCTCTCTCTCTCTCTCTCTCTCATGCTCTCTCAAATAAATAAAATCTTCAAAAAAAAAAAAAAAAGTGAAGGGACAGTCAAAAAGTCACAAAAGCCAGCGTGAAGAAGCCAGTGTCCCATTGGTCAAATCTGGGACAATTTGAGCAAGAAAATAAGTTGAGTGGTAGTAACAAATTCTCACACATAGAAATACTTGTGAGCCCATACTGGTATAAACAACGGAAAAAACAAATAAATATGGGGAGAAGTAAAGTTTTTCCTTATAAAAAAATTCCAACCAAAATTGTAGAAGAGATAATGACTAGAAAAAGCACAATCTGGCAAACACCACAGTCATAATTGTTTCTAGTAAGAGTTATCAATGGAGTCTCAGTGGATAGTAAAATTACTGGACAGAAATATGATGAGAAACAGTATTTATACAGTTTCAAAATACTTCCTCATAAAATACTTCTGAATTACAAAAGGCTGACTAAAGTGGAGAAACTTGGCAGACACTACCTTAACCAAATGATCAACATTAACATCACCAGAAACAGGATAAATCAGTATCATGTGCCTCTTGACACAATCCACTGAGAAGGACATAACATCACTTCCATGGTATTCTTATAAAAAATGCATCACCTGAATTTAACCATGAGGAAACAACACAAACTCAAATGGAAGGACATTCTGGCTAGTACTTAAAAACGCCAAGGTCATGAAAGACAAAGGAAGACCAAAGAGCTGTCTCACGTTGAAGGAAACCAAGGCCATGTTACCACCGAACCCATGTGGTCCCGGATCAGCTTGTGAACACCCCGACG